GTCCTGGTGGTTGGATGCTACACTCGTCACCTAAATCTACGGCTCTCACGGAGCGGGCGTGGCTCTGCACGTAACATACTAACCCCCAACCGGCAATGTCTGCACTCCAGAAAGGTCACAGATATTCTCCGCAGAGAGGGCCGTCCATACATCCAACCAACCTATGTGTCTGGATATTATTATTACTATTATTTGCTTCGCATGTTTATATTTCTTCTTCATGAGCCATATTCTCTATGGGCCTTTGTTTTTCAGAATTTGAAAACTCCCTTTTTTCTCAAGTTATTTGGTTCAGATACCTTCCCACTTGGTAGCTCTGTTGTGCGCGGCCCTCCACCTGCCCCTCGGACGGAAGGGGAGAGGTGCCGTGTTAAAAAGCGGCCCGCTCTCCCCCGCCACGTGCAGACTCTGTCACAAGAGCTAAGACAGGTGCACATTTCCTAAGGCGGAAATCAGATCGCTCTGGCACAGCCACGGGGTTGAGTTGGCAGAGATAAGGAGAAAATGTGATGAAAAGAAGTTGAGAATTTTACCTCTAAATCCACTGTTATTATACTGTAGTCAGAGATTTAAGCTGGAGACGATGCATTCTTTTTCTGCCCCGAGAAATCTTTTTTCTGATCTCATCGTTTTCATAAATCCTGTGCAGTATTTCCACACGGCCGCGGAACTACCATGAGCTCAGACAAGACACATTCCTGCGCCACTCTGCACTCTCAGACGACCCTGAGGTTTCCCAGGCAAGTCCATCATGTCGGACACGTGTGCACTCTGCAAGCAGCATGCTAGCCCTGGCCGGGGAGCCTCAGTGGGTTGAGCATCGCCTCATGCACTAAAAGGTCGCCAGGTCAGGGCACAGGCCCAGGTTGCAGGCTGGACCCCAGTCGGGGCTGTGCAGGAGGCAGCTGATCTATGTTTCTCTCACATCGATGCTTTCTCTCTCCCTCTCCTTTCCTCACTCTCTAATAGCCAATAAAAATCTAACTTAAAAAATAAAACTAAAATAAGCACTATAGCTCATTAAATAAGAGTAATGTATTCAAACGTTTTAAAACTTCATATCTTCATTTTATTAATATGTCATCAATCACCACACTTTCTCTCCTGTGGCGAGCCGGCACTGCCATGGCGTACTCAGCCCCAAGCACCTTATGTGCCGCGCCAGCTCCACCAGGTTCGGTGACCCCGAGAGGGGGCGGAGTGGGATGGAGAAAAGACAGACAAGAGAATGAAGCTGGTCTGGGTGGGATGCTGTCCTCTCTGATGGAGAGCTAGCGACAGCGCCAGGGACGACCAGCCGTGTCTTTATCTCACAGCAGATGCCACGAGGCAAAGTAAGGGTGTGGTCAACATGTTTACAACGTCCTCCTGGGTTTCAATCCTACTCAACTACATGCACCTGAACTCTGTCCAGCCCACGTCACTCAGGCACGGGGGCCACGTATTCGGACCACAGGTTCAAGCTCACAACCACAGCTGTTGGCTACCATGGTGCTGGGAGGCTCTGCCCTCCAGGCTGGGACTTGCACGTGGCCATGAGTGGACTGTGCCCTCTCGTCAGTCTGAGGCTTAAGCCTGTTCAGACACTGTGGCGGCGCCCCACCTCTCTCAGTCACCGCTATTCTCCATACAAGGCCTTTTAAGCCTATATCACCAGCAAATAGTAAGATTAAAAACAGGCTGGGCTGCAGTCACAGTTGGAGTCTCATCTCTGGTCTTTACCACTTATCCTTCTACTCATGTCATTTCTGTCCATGGTTCCATCTCTCACTTCATCGGCGTTCTAATCATTCACCAAATGCTCCCGGTACAGAAGATTACCTGTAAGCACATCACCCAGGTGTCTCACCTACTGCGCTCTGGTGTAGTCCTACCTTTCTCTCTACTTTTCTTGCATTTAGTGGACATGATGTTCTAATGTAAATTGTTTTTCATGGTATTTTCCACTGAACATTATAACACGAGAACTCTCATGTCACTAAAAGCATCATGTTAGAGATCATTTAAATAGCCAGATAGAGTGAATGATGCTACACCTTTCCATTACACACACATATATACACACATCTATAATAATAAAAGTGTAACATGCTAATTAGACTGGACGTCCTTCCCTCCAAAGCCGCAGTGGGCAGGGGCCGAGGCAGAGGCGGCGTCCGCTCCCGCCTGCACGTTGTGGGGGCTGAGTCCCCCCGCGGACGGCATTCGGGGGCCCTTGGCCTTCCTGTAGGATTGGCAGATAGTGAGTGCTCGGTGACTCTCTGCTGAATTACTGGTCAGGGTGCACACCCACTCGGTGGGAGGATGAGGATTCCCGCCCCTTCCTCCCTCCTCCTCCTCCTCCCCCCAGCCTGCCCGTCCCCTGGCACCGCTCCCGGCGGACAGGACCTCAGGGTGAGGGAGGAGGCCTGCTGCAGGTGCTCAGCGCAAACACCGAGGGCCAGGCCCGCACACCGCGCTGCTCACCGCCTTCATTTTATCTGTTTTTATGTTTCATTGATGTCAGAGAGGAGGGGAGAGGGAGAGAGAGGAGCATCAGTGATGAGAGAGAGCCATGGACCGGCTGCCTCCTTCATGGCCCCCGACACTGGGGATGGAGCCCACCCCCAGGCCTGCGCCCTGACCGGGAATCGAACCCTGACCTCCTAGCTCCTAGGTGGACGCTCAGCCCCTGCAGGGCCACTATTCACTGTTTTTAGTCATTCGATTATTTAACTGTGCTCTGCGATTCTCAACATTCCCAATAGCATGTGTGTACGTGTGTGCAACGTGTGTGAGCCATGGAAACGGAGTCTGTGGCCCAGCAGCTCTGGCGTGACCCGATGCCCTTGGCTCAGAGCATCGGCGCCGGCCCCTCGGACCCGGTGCCGTGTGTCTCTCTCGCTGGCTCAGCTCTCCTGGCTTCGGAGCACGCGTGCTGCCCAGAGGCAGGGATCCCCGTGCCGCCGAAGGGACCGTGCCTTCGGGCGGGTTCTCCCGGGCTGCAGGCTCCTCTCCTCGGAGACTCCCCGTGCTCCTGGGAGGCTCTCCTGGTCCCCTGGCCCTCTCCGCCCACCCGGTGCCCGCCCCGTGCCCGGTGCCCGCTCCCTGCGGGCCTGGCCTCAGCTCGCTCCTCTGTCTCCCCGAACCGTCCACTCGGCACCGCACACGGGCGGGGGCCGCCGGGACAGATGCCGGTGTGCACACATGACGGTAACAGAAAGGACGTGTTCCGTGTGCAGCTGGGCTGGCGGGAGAGGACGCAGCTCCAGGGAGACAAGTCCCGCCTGAGCCCCTGCACAGTGTCTTTCACCTGATGCTCAACGCGCTGCGTGTTCAATGCCCGCACCTCTCCGAGACTGACTGCGTTCTACGGAGACACACCTCCCCACTGTGTGCTCCGCTTATTTTCCCCTCCTCCCCCTCCTCCCCCTCCTCTCCCTCCTCCCCCTCCTCCTCCCCCTCCTCCCCCTCCTCCTCCTCCCCCTCCTCCCCCTCCTCCTCCCTCTCCTCCCCCTCCTCCTTCTCTTCTTCCTCCTCCCCCTCCTCTTCCTCCTCCTCTTCCTCCTCCTCTTCGTCCTCCTCTTCCTCCTCCTCCTCCCCCTCCTCCTCCTCCTCCTTTTTTTTAACAACAAGACGTTAAACAATAAAACAGGCTCCTTTGCTCCAGCTGGTAATTTCTCCGAACTAGCCATAGATTATTCCTCCTTTCGTGACATCATAATCATCTATGCAGAAGTACCATGTATCTTTGTGTAGAAGCTACTGTTTCCATTAAATTTAATTACCTCCCCCTGTGGTTTTAAATAGAAGTGGCTTCAAAATGAGGGCAGCTTCTATTAAATTTAATTACTTTCCCCTGCTGCTTGCCTGGTAGCCGTGCCTGGCAATCCGCCTGTGAGTAGGGTAACGTGGACTGGCAGTAGCAGAACAGGCCGCGCCTCCCGCTCTGCTCCCTCCGCTTCCCGGTGCTGTTTAGCTTTGATTTAAGATCCTGAGGAGAACGTGGGCCCGGATAGAAGAAGATGCGTTTTGAAAGCCCGTTTCTGTGTCACAGGCGACAGAGAGGGAACCGGGCCGAGGCCGGGCAGTCACCTCGGCGGTGGCCCCGCTCGGAGGCTCCGCTCACGGCACCTAAGTTAGGATCATCGGCGGGTGATGAGTTTGCTATACCCAGCCTTTGGTTAACGTCTAGTAAAAAGCCTTTCCTTGACCCTGACCAGATGGATTTAAATACTGCTTGCTAAAAAAAAATTAATAAATAAAATAAAAGAAGAAGAAGAAGAAAAAGGCATCAAGAGAGGGAAGAAATTCAAAGAAACATTCACAAATCGTGAATAAATGAGTAAATTCTTGATACTGTAGGATTCCCAGTTTGTCTGGTTTGTGCTGACAACTACCGTACTACCGTACCATATACAGGTAATAGATTTCCTTTATTTTCATTTAACAAAAAAAAAAAAAAAAATTTCACAAATCGTAATGCGCAAACGCGGAAAAACCACCAGCGGGCTCGTTAAAGACACTGACTTTGGGGGGAAAAAGCAGTGAGTCCACGTGCTCTGGGCAGTGTGAAAATGTCAGTCTGTTTTTAAAACACCATGATATCAGCTAATGCAATATAAAATTTTAAATACCTCCTTTTTAATTAAATATTAATTGGGAGGAAACAGTGCTCGTTCGACCACCATTGTGCTGTTTACTTTGTTGCAGACAGGCGGAATTCAGACGAACGGTACTTCCATCCGGCCCCACGGTTTAGTATAAATATGAAACCAGACACCCCTTAAGCATTTTAAGTAACAAATTAAACATTTACATTTTTTACTGTGCACCGAGGCTTAACATTTCTGCAGCTTTCAAAACCAAAGCACAGCCTCCAGGGAAGTCTCTCACTGACAAATTAATACCTTAGAGAGCGCGGCTGAATGGTGGCAATGAACTCATTTGTTCCCCCAATAATGAAGAATGACTTTCTCTTCGCCACATCTGTGACTGTTGCCATGGTGACCCAGCCTTACCTCAGTGCTTCTCGGAGGGCTCCTCGCTCACCCAGCGTCGTGTGCTTGATGTCATCGAAATTGTTCTCCAGCTTCTCGCAGTCCTGCAACATATTAACCAACGCATCAGTCCCCGCACCCGGAGGTGAAAACTGTGCCTGTGCAATTAGGAAGACATGGATTGATTATATTGATGATGGGCTCCTGAAAGAGAGGCACACGGCTGTAATTGGGTAGGATTCATTAACATGGACAGTGTGAATGCCACGGTAACCAAATAAGAACGTCTTAGGATACGGCTGTGACAGAAATCTTTTGGCCAGTTTTCCAAAATGGGGAACAGAGAGGAAGTGAGTAACGACCAGTTCTCTGAACTCATCTCCCGCATATCAAAGCTAATTTAAATTCAGAAGAGAAAGTCAATAGAGTTAGGATGAATATTTAGTTCTAAATGAATTAGAACTTACTACGATGAAAAGATACAGAGCCCAGGTCTAATCTAATAAAAACAAAAACAAAAAAAGGCTCCCACATATTGGAACTGAAATTGTATAAGATCTTTAATAGCAATTATATATATTAAATGTTTATTTACATTTCTTATCATTAAGTGACATTATATTAGGTTCTTAGCATTCCTGGGTTAAATTTTCTTAAATTTTATTTCAATTTTAACTTTTTTTTTTTTAATTTAAAACTGAATTTTACATGACCCTAGTAAGTTTTAAAAACATTATATATAGGATTAAACTTTAGACTGAAAAAAATATATCCATAGGAGATTTTAGCATTTTAGACTTCATGTAGAATTTAATTGGATTTGATCATAGAATTTAGTGTTTTAGTAAATTTAACAAAGAGCAAAACTAAATAATCAAATTTTAAACATTAGTGTGTTCTTTGTATTCTCAAATTTGTACACAGTATGTTGGATTTTATAATAGAAAATTACAGAATTTATATTAATATCGATAGTTTCCAATGTCTAAGAATTAATTTATTTAAGATCTATGGGGGTGTGTGTATATATATATATATATATATATATATATATATATTTCTGTTTTTACCTTGATTTTTAAATTCAGCCAAATTGAGGCAAATATTCTCTTTAACACATACTTATATATTCTTTTATATTAAAAATCTTGAAAATTACCATAATGTAGCCCAAATCATTTGAGTTCTGAATAACAGGTCCTTTCTACATAAATCAGAACCAGCCTCTTGAGGCCTTTGTTTATCTTTTCACTTTTCCGCAGTGTCTTTTCATGAAGGGAATTTCTTAGTTTTACGAGGCCCTATTTTTTACTGCTTAACTCTTTGCTTAGTGCTTTTTGTGGCCTTTGTGTAAAAGCTCTGACTTCCTCAAAGTTATGAATATTATTTTTCTTATTTTTTTTCATCAATCTTTATTATTTTACATTTCGCATTTGGATGTGCAATCCATCTGGGAATACATATCTGTACATGGTGTGAGTTAGGAAATCATACCTATGGGTGATCAATTCAATCATTACTATTTATTGAAAAACAAAAAAACACACATCATATCCCCCATTGTAATTCAAAATCATCTTTTTCCATAAAGTCCGTCACAGCACATAGGGGTTTGTTTCCAGCGTCCCTACTGGCTGATTGCTCGATTTCATATACTTGTGCCAATACCACACTATTTAAAATACGTATAGCCATAATAACTTAAAACTCCCACAAACAAATATAAAAAAAATCAATGGGACGTGAGCAAAAGACTATATAAATACTACATAAAAGGGACTATCCACATATTCGATTAAAAACCAAGCAAACATGCTCACCGTCATTAGTCATGAGGACGATGCCAATTCAAACAATGAGATGCTGCTACACATGTTGGCTGTGACTTAAGATGAAAACGAGTGGTTGCACAAAGGGTGCTCCTTTCAGTATAAAAGGCAGCTACCGCACTGCTGCTGGGACCGGAAGTTGTTGCGACCACTTGGTAAAAGCGATTCAGCAGCCCTTTTCAAAGCGAACATTCCCACCCAGGAAAACAACAAATGTGCAACGTGTCCACCTCAAACGAGAATGGCGACCGGACCGCTATTCCAAGGAGCCCCAAACTGGACGCAAATCACACGCACCTCAAGGTGGGAGGCATAAAGAATGACATGGTAACGCAGTGGAAAACTCCATGGCAATAAGACTGAGCAAGCAGTGGCTATAGGCAGTTACACGGGTGCACCGCACAGCCATGGTGTTGAGCACAGAGCAAACTTACTCCGTTTACATGGAGCTCAAAAATAGGCAGCTCCAGTGAACCATGCAAAAGTGAAAATAAGAAAACAATTCCATTTATGAGCATAAAGAGTAGAATACTTCCAAATAAATTTAAAACAGAAGCATAAGACTTGTGCACTCAAAAGAATAACACATCACCTAAAATTTCTAAAAGATGAAAATAAATGGAAAGATATCCCATGTTCATGGATGAGAAGACATGATATTGTTAAAATCTTACTACTTTCTAAATCCATCTGAAGAAATGAAAGCAATTCCTGTCAAAATCCCAGGATTTCCATGTTTTATTTTTATAAATTTTGATAAGGTGCTCTTAAAACTCACATGAAATTACATACAAGGGACCCAAAATAGTCAAAATATTCTTTACAAAACAGAAGTGCAAATTTGAAGAACTATTTCCTGATTTAGAGCAACATACGAATGCATAAATATTCGTGCACAAATGTTCAAATTAGGATTTTTCATAATGGAAAAAATCCAAAAAATCAATCAAATAATAAATGAATATACAGAAGGGATATTTATTTTATTAGGGGAGTTCTGATCCATGCTACAACATGGATGAGACTTGAAAACACAATGCCAAGTGCAAAAGCCAGAAACAAAAGGTCACACTGTCTGATTGCATTTCTATGAAATGTCCAGTCCAGGCAAGTCCTTAGAGACCAAAAGATTAGTGGTTGTCACAGGGTAATGTGGTTACATTTCAGAGAGAGTAAGGTGTTCTGGAATTAGTGATGACCCAGGCACAACTCTGTGAACATACTGGAAAAAACGGAATCAGACTCTTTTAAAAGAGTGAACTTCATGGACTGAGAATCATATCTCAATAAAGCTGTTACTGAAGAATAGGCAAAGCTAATCAAGGCGATGGAAATTGGTAGATGACAACTGCAGGAGGCATGAGCGGGTCTGCAGGATACCCTTTAATTCACTGAGTGAAAATGCAGGCAACTAAATGCTCAAGATGTGTTTACTTTGCCGTGTCATTATACGGCAGTAAAAAGTTTTCAGAGGAGAGTTTGAATTCTGGTTAAAAAATCATAATTCAGTCACGTGTCACTGTGGTTAAAATTAAAGAATACATATAAGAAGTTCAAAGTATCAAAGACTTAATAAATGTTAGCTCCCAGCCAACACTGATGAAATAAGACTTTATTATTTATTAAAAGTCTGTACCAGAGATCCAGTTCTGTAATGAAGTCTAACTTACCCTGATTAAGCTTTGACACTTTACTAATTAAAATTATGAACTTTCTTTATACATAGTGACTCGTTTTAAAGAATGACATTTAGACAATTATAAATGCAAAGACGAGTAAATTATTTGGGCTGAAAATGAATCAACGGCTTTAAAAAGTCATATGAAAAGAATATTCTTTGACTGGGATTATTCATTCCAACTCATTTTCCATTGAATTCAGGTTGTTTTCATAAAATGTACTCAAAGAATCGGATATTATCTATGGCAGAGACAGTACTCAAATTCAGAGTTTCTGATTCTAAATCTCATTCTTTTAATTCCCCCAATTTAGCCATTAACAGAAAACAATGTGTAATTTCTCTGAGGTAGATTATATGTACTGTCTCTGCATCCAGGTTTGCCGTAAGCCCAATCCCAGCAATTCACATGTATCTCTACTGTCTCACATGTAAATCTTTTTTAAATTTTATTTTATTGTTTAAAGTATTACAAATAGTAGTACATGTGTCTTTTTTACCCCACTGAACTTCCCTCGGCCACTCTTACTCCCCAGTACATGCTCTCACCGCCCCAGTGTCTCGCATCCATCGGTTGTGCTTAGATGCAGGCATACACGTCCTTCCGTTGATCTCTTATCCTGCCCCCAACCGTCCCTTGCCTTCCCGCTGTAGTCTGACAGTCTGTCCGATGCTTCTTTGCCTCTGTATCTATTTTTGTTCATTAGTTCATAATGTTCTTTATATCCCACAAATGCATGTGATCTGCCATTTGACCCAGTAATATCACATTTAAATCTTCAAGTGGAAAGGCGGCACAGCCTTTATGGATTTCCACTTGGAAAACAACACCTACCTTTAATTTGATGCTTCCTCACAGATGGTTTATAACTCAGATGAGGGAACAGATATTTCTATTTAATTGCTACGGGCAGATTTTTAATAAAGCTACAATTATGGATATATACACAGTGCGTGTGTGTGTGTGTGTGTGTGTGTGTGTGTGTGTAGATAAAATCTTAGCTGGATGGACTCATTTAATAGAAATAAATCTGCCCCTTGACAAGATGTTCTCGTTTTGTATGGCTGGCCTTTTGAGAAAACCTTAGAAATGTTGCATTTATCATGTATTAACAAAACCATATAGCACTATATATCTGAATCTCTTTACTTAAAAACAATTGTTTTGAGTTAGAATACCATCTTTAAGACCCATAATGCTATTATAAATGTGAGATATAAACGTTAACTCCAGTGGAATGGCGTGATAATTACACTATTGTAATTAAGAGAGAATTTTAATATCTCAGTTTAGCCATTTAAAGTTACTCCCTAGACTACAGCAACCTTGCCTGTAGTAAAAGGAAGTCAGGGATAAGCAATATTTAAGGCCTCCTGCCATCACATCGGACACAGCAGCTCAGAATCCAGAGCAAGCCCAGATGGAGTCCACGAAACCTCATGTCATTCCAGCGTCCATGTTGGAAATCCCTTGGGAAAAACTGTGTCATAAAATGTCATAAGCAAAAATTTTAAAAAACAATATTTCTTATAAGTTATAAATCTTTCCAAAAAATGAATGCTCGTCAGATCTGTTGTTTGGGGTAAAGGTCCCATT